CCCCTCGTCTCCTCCGCCAATGGCCCTCAGATTTAACTTTTAAACTATCGATTTCACCGATTTCGCCCTCTCCCCGTAAGCAAGGTAAGCAATCTAATATATATTGATGCAATTTCACTGTTTGGGAACGTTTATGAAAAGGTTTTACTTGTAAAGCGAATCAGAACGTATTTCCCCCTTTGGAATTATTGGATTATTTAAGTTTGCAATGCTTAAGATTTACTGTAAGCATGTGATGATTATTTGGCATTGTAGTTACACTGTACACTGTTACACAAATTAGTAATTGCGATGAAATGTGATTTACGGCGTGAAATGAGAAAATGTTTTTGATAATGATACGAATTGTGTTTGGGAATACGACCGTTTCAATAGTTGACGTTATTTTCATGAGTAAGTAGCTCTTTGTGGAATTGATTATATTTTAAAGGAGGGTGAATTTGCTCTTATGACTTCAGTTATGTACGTACATTCGTTTGTTAAAAGTAATCAACAGAAATATATCATTGATGGCTGTGGCTTTGTTCTTAATTAATTAATATATGCAACCTCTATCGTCATTTACATCGTTCACATTCATTTGGTATTTTGCGGACCATTTTTAAAAGGAGTTGGTTGATAATTAATAATAATATATAAATTCAGTAATAAGCACTAAACAAATAATTTTATTAAGTTGACTTTTTATAAGTATTCCTACAGTTATAGTGGTGAATTTCACGAATTCTATAATAAATAATAGCTTGAATTTGGCATAGACACATAATTTTGGTTATTTAGTAACACAATTACGAAGAAGTATATTTTTATATTTTTGTCTGTTGAATTGTTGGGTTGCGTCGGTTAAATTTACTCGCATTTTACTTTATAAAACGGAGAAAACTGACCAAGTAAGCTATGTTAATTTGTTTATTAAAATATTTATCATTACTTTTTATAGTGGATCTTTCATTATTTAGTATTATGAAGCGAAAATATTTTAAGAGGATTTCAGTAGTCTACAAAGTTATTGAAGTATCCTGTTCACATATATCTAGATTAAACTTACAGCTTACATTTATTTGGTAAAGGTAATTTAACAGTATAAGAAACGTAAATGTTTTAAATTACTTCTTTACCCCATACACGGGCATATTACGTATGAAAGGCGCTTACACGCAGTTGACAATCAAAGCAGAGGTAAATGGCGTTCCAAGTGTCAGAACCACTCGTAGTATAAACTCGTACTAGAGGGCGAGCAAAGGCCATGAATAGCGTGAAGGGACGGCCCTTGTAGGGCAAGAAGTCATATCACTGCGGGGCTACATGGGTCCAAACACCCGCCGTCGGCGGCAAAAACTGCCATCCCGCGCGCGCCAAACTGTACAATGTACATTTGTTGTGTAGGCAGTACTGTGTTTATATTATCAAAATGATTTAAATTAGAAAAACTTTCATTTTTTACACTATATCTACATTAAAATGTCTTACAATGTTTCGTTTCACCCCAATTATTAAAATGTTTAGTAGTTATGTGGCCAAACATAGTGTGTATAACATTTCGTTTACTAAAATTAACCCATTTTAGATTAATGTTTTAAATGTGTGTGACAACAATAGTTTATAATGCATATTTCCTTTTTATATAGAAATAACGTTCCCCGGATCTACCTTTTATTGAGAACAGACATCTTCTTTAAAAAAATCATCCTTTCAAAAACAGAGCTAAATAATTTGTTGTAAATTAATTTTATTGGTTTATGTATAGAAATACAGTCAAGGGCAGTTAAGATTTGCCTTTTAATTTTTATTATTTAACTAATGTATGTTAATAAGGATTTATTTAAATAACTTATGTTTTAAATTATAAAGTGAAAACACATTTATTCCACTCATGTCTTAAAACGAATTAAATTTGATTGTTTATTTATGAAATCATATATTTTAAGAGCTTACAATTTTTTAATAAAAATTTACATTTTCTAAAGCAGTCATATTTAAATTGTAGAGCCTATATTATAAAGTCTATTAGTCAACTAAACAAACATAGTTTTCTTGTTCATTTATTTTACGAATGACAAATAATACAATTTACACTAGGTACTGGTCCATTTATACAGTAAAATCTCATTGGATTATATTTTTAATTGGAGCTAGAAAAGCTATAATATTTTAAAAATTTACAAAAAAATACATTAAAATGAAACCGAGGATTAGTTTAGGGTTCGAATACTTCAACTAATTACATATTTTCTGTTCATTGCTTTTATATTATTTTATCACAATCGCGAAAGATAATATAATTACTACCATATTGGTCCCCCGACAAAAACTACAATAATATTTTTTTGTTTATCTACTTGTTTGGATGCTTTCAATTTTTGTAAGGGAATGTTCCAAATGCTGGTCTTATTACAATCTAGTATTGTTCTTTTATTTGATAGGCTAGCATGTATTAATTGACAGCCCAAAGAAAAAACTGTATTAATTTATATAAACTTACCTTATTTTACAAGTTTAACAAAAGTGTCTGGTTAATAAATTGACAAAGCCAAGATTAAATTGTAGGAAATGCACCTTTAATATTTTTTTTTTTTTACTTATTCAATAATACTATGTATCAAATCCTCCAATTATACTGTTAATTCATCTTTTATTTTAATAAATTAGAGTTATTACCAAAAAGCAGTACAACATTTTCATCCTAATAGATAAACGCACATTCAAAAAATTATATTTTAAATTGTATAAAATAGTAACTTTTTATTCAGATACTAGACAGTCAAATCAGAAATTACGATTTATAAACTTCCACTTAAACAAAAACCGTTACATATTCTGTAGGTTGAATGGCAAAACCTGCATTTCAATCACATTAGTCTGTAGGTAAGAAACACACTAATGCAAACTGAAAAGCAGTAACATTGTTTAATAATAAGCAGAGAGAGAATTGGGTTGATTGGCGTAAGGGTTGTGGTTTCACACGTGGGGAGTCTTTACATTTAGACATTTAGTCTCTGCAATCATCATAGCGGCGGCTCGCACACAACACCCGTACAGCGGATCATCGTTACTGCACTGCTTCGGATTGGAGATTACATAATCTAGATTTTATTTTGGCTATTTTAAATTATGTTTTCATTCAAACAATATAACCATCGAGTTTTTGTAGTAAATTTACTGTTGACAAAAATTGTGAGAATTTTTACAATAACCAGTTTAGTTGCAATAATAATGTTGTAATAAATTGCTATAGCCATAAAATAATGTATTAGTTGAGTATAAAATAATTACAAGTTATAAAATATAGAAAAATAATATTATTGGGATCTTAAAAATAATGTTAGTGTTGTGAAAATTATACAGTTATCCATATTGCATTTTTAAATTCATTACATTATTATAAACACTAATTAAAGTGAATTAAAAAAACTTTAATCCTCAAAAAAGAAACAAGTTAGTTTGTTAATAATAAATTGAAGCATTATTTTTATGTTTGCATTTAAATACTACAAGTAAGTTTTTAAAATTCATACGAATATATTTTGTAGTGCTAACTGGCCATTTTATTTTCTATTTAAACGCCTTTAATCATGGTCCGATTGTTAAACACATCATTTGAAAAATTACTTGTGTAATGTTTTTTTAGCTTGGTAATTTATGAAGAAGAAAAGGGTAGGGATTGATTTTCTAAGCTTGCTCACTTTATGCGTCTTTCTAAAAAAAGTATTACAGAACCCAGAAAGCTGCGCCACTGCAGACCACGAAATAACATAGTGGCCTTTCATATCAAAATCAGTAAATTCCGGTTTGTAGTCTATTAACAACTCAATTTACTTGAAATTTATAAACTTATTTTTAGATTAGTGGTAGTAAAATCTATTAATTCCAAACAGAAAATGGTAGGATAGCAAGTTAATAAATTGATATTAAAAATGAAATGGTAGCACAACAAAATAAAATCCATAATGATAATATACCGAAATATTTTTTTATTTTTTTAATGTATATTTTGATGTATGTTTAAATAGTTATATGATGTAACTAATATTCTGGTAATATTAAAAAATTGTAAATTTTAATACACCGGTATCATATTATATATTCCACTTTAAGCTAAGAAAAGTAATTTAACTTAGTACATTAACTTAAATGGAAAATTATAAAACACCACTTACCCATATGGATTATTTGGGCCGAATACTCTTTGTTTTTTAAATACAAAACTAACATAAACTATTCACAAATAATAACATAACTAAATTTGCCCCTTGTCGTCATTTCTTTTCAGGTGGGTGATTGTTACAGGACCCTTAAAATCAAGACCTTACACAAACTAATATTTTAAACCAGAAACACGTGTCAAGAATAAGTAATGTAAGACAGTAGATATGCTGTAGGGAGTGAGCGACAACACTGTTGATAACAACAGGGCTGTGATAAGAGGAGCGCTCGGCGGCCGTGTCGTGTTGTATTGTTGTACAACAATAGCAGCTACTGACGCGGCGGCCGCTGTCTACCTACCACTGTGTACCGCGGCACGACGTTCTTATCACATACTACAGACCGTACTAAAGACATGATACAGATCTATCTAACTTCGACACCCATCCCATTTTAACAAAATACACCGTATCCCTATAATTTGATTATGTCGCCCTTTTAATGGTATACCGACATCACAGTTACACCACACATCCCACGATACTCTACCACACCGACCAGCCAACAATCATCGACTAATCCACCAGGAAGACTGCCCATAAATACCACTTAAACTCCGGGGAGGGATAACTTTGGCAACTGTCATAAACTAAGTGTTCGCGAATCTTTTATCGTTGAACTTTTATTCGGAAACTACTCGTCGGAAAAACCGCGGGTGAAGTCAAAGTTAGTTATACTAAGAAGTCCCGCGGAGGGGGGGGGGGCAATTTTGCACAGACTTAAGTAGAGTCGAACAACAAAGTATAAAATCCCATCAAAAACAAAGTTTGTTCGGTCCGGTTTTATGAGTGACTCACCTCCAGAAGAGCGATCCCGGCCGTACGAAGAAGAGTTCTGGGCGTTAGGGGCCGAGGTACAGTCCGAGGACGAAGCCGAGGAGGCCCGAAGGTTCCCGAAGACGAGGGAGCGACCGAGCGGCACGTCTACTCGCGGTCCGGGTCGGAATAGCTGTGCGGGGCAAGAGGGGTTCTGCGTCCGCCCTTATCGATTCCGAGGGGTGGATTTCGCGCGACTTTTTCCACTTTTGCCCCCACCCACGGCCGGGGCGGAGGCAGCGAAAGAAGGGGTTGAGACGGGCCCAATCGTAGCCTCTTGCGCACCTTTTATTTTTTCTCCCGGCGTACCTGCCGTCCACTCAGGGTTTTCTTGTACCCGATAATAATCGACTCTTTCTCGACACTGAACATTGTTTTATCAACTATGCGTTTTTAAAAATATTTTGAAAACCTACGAAATACGTGTACGTTTGATGCGTAGGTGATGCTACAAAAGCAAGCAAAGAATTTGGAACTCTGCTCTTCAATGTCGAGAGTTTTACAACGGATTTTTGTTAATGTTTGGATGAACGTCATAGTATGTTATGTAATATTATAAAACTGGTTTATCATTGATACAGTTATGCAACCAACCAACAGTGTGTAGATTTGACGTCCCCAAACAGCTTGAATATCCAGTGAGCTTCGAAATTAAATAATGTAGGTGTTGTAACAGGCTTTTATTATCTTTGTGAATTTATATTTTTCAGAATATTTACTAATTATAGCTTATTCTACAATACTTTTACCCAAATCAGTGTTATCTTACAGCTTTCCTGAGACGATTGGCTTGTCTCCGCAACAAAAGAGCAACCTAGTTGTCATCCATCTAAATGACTTAACCCATTGGTTCCTTCTCTTAAAGAATGTTTTTTATTCTATTTGAATTTTTTCATTATACTGTTTGTTAAACATTATGTAGTTTCTGTCAGTATCTCTTGGCATCGAGTCTCATTCAACAGTACTTGCTGTGAAAAGACCATACTATTCGTATGCTTGTTAAGTCTAGACGGTTAATAAAACCTACTCTAAGTGTGACATGATTGTAAATATCCTATTAAGTATATACTTTATATGGATTTAGGTTTAAACAAGTTTACGTAAAGTTGTTTAAAAGGGGTAGCGGATTTTTATCCCCCTGGAATTTTACCCCCTGGGCAAACGTGACGTCACAAACCAGGGGGTAAAATTCCGGCCGCGAACATTTGAGTTTCGCGACATCAGCTCGATGGATTAAACGCGGAATTAAACATATATTTTCACGGTTGTGAGTTTAATCAGAACACATCAAATTATAAAAACCTAGAATGTACGGCCCGGAATTTTACCCCCCGGAATTTTACCCCCTGGCCAGATATAAATTAGTGAGAATGATTAATTATCGTCATTCAGTTTTAAATGATAAACATTTTATTATTAAGTAGCCTATCTTAATTTATATGTTACATTAACTAATCGAACAGGGTTTTAATATTAATTTTGAGATTCGAGTGTCAGGATTCGATCTTTGAAGCCAACTGTTGGTTAATATGATCAAAATAAAACAGCGAATTCTGTTTACTCAGTTGAGATTTCAAAATAAATAAATATAATAAATAAATAAATAATATAAATATATAAATAAATAAATAAGATATGCTACTAAATAATGAAATGTTTACAATTAATTAAAAACAGGAATTAAGAAAATCAATCATTCAATTTCTAAAATCACCCAGGGGGTAAAATTCCGGGGGGTAAAATTCCGGGGGTAAAATTCCGGGGGGTAAAATTCCGGCCCGTACATCTTCAGTTGCCTAAACGCTAGTTATATGGACAGGGGGTAAAATTCCGGTTTTTATCGCTAATCTAATTAATCACGCTCTGACTATTTTCATTAGACTTCCAAATCCGCGGGGGTAAAATTCCGGCCGCGAACAAACTTTTGGCCACTCAGGTTACTACGTCATAGTGACGTCAGCTTTGCCCAGGGGGTAAAATTCCAGGGGGATAAAATTCCGGCGACCCGTTTAAAATGTGGTATGACGACTTGCTAGCGAGATGCCTTACACTGTGGATGCAACCCGCGCTACAGTCTGCACCTATATTGCCTGTCAGCGCCGTCGCTTCTCGGACAACGCGCTCAGTGCGGTCATTTCTTTGGTTCAGATGTGTATTTTAAGATGCAAGAAGTGTATGGAGTTAGTTGTCAGCATTTCCGCATATATTATGTTTAAACAGGATTGGGGTCATCTTAATCATATAACTAATGTTCAATAAGGTTACATGCCAATACAGTTACATACCAATACAGTTACATACCAATACAGTTACATATCAAACGAACAATAATGCTGTAACCGTGACTGAATTACAGGGTGTCCCACAAAGAGGTTTAAATGTTTAATTTTATATATCTTGCCTATTGATAGGCCAAACATTTTGAAACTTTACACAACTTATAAAGTAATTTTTTTAAATATTTTGGAAAATTTTCAGCTCTTTAACCCTTGAAAAGACAAAATGGTGGCATATTGAAAAATGACACATTAAACACATCAAAAATGCTGTTTTTGGTTTTTAAAAATACTTTTAGTGACATTTACAAGGAAAATGAGGCTTTTCCATCAGAAAACTATAATAAAACCTAATGATAAACCTAACAGTAGAGTCTTAATATTATTAGATAATAATACATTTTCAATATGCCACCATTTGGTTTATACAAGGGTTAGGGAACTAAAATGTTCCTAGAATTTTTAAAACATAATTTATAGATTGTGTAAAGTATTAAAATATTCGGTCTATAAATGGGGAATAAATATAAAATCAAGCATTGTATATTTCGTGGGACACCCTGATATTTAAAGGTTTAGGTTTTAATCTAAGTTACAAAATAATTAATTCGCAAAAAACAGTAAGCTATACTTATTGTTTTGCTGTACATTTAAAAGTAATTTAATCCATTACATAATGTATTGTTTGGTTAAATTTGGAAATGCATACGTCTCAACTTGACCTGTTGAACTCCAATATACCAACAAATATACCTGGGATAAATACATTTCAGTAAGAAACTCTAGCTGTCTTAAGTATAACATAAAAGTAAGCCTTTTGCTTGGTTTTGATTAATTTATTATATTTGAATTTTGGTTTGCTTTACAAAAAGCCTTAGTCTGCATACTTATATTAATATTGTCAAGATTTAAGTAGATAGAGTCAAGTGGTCGATTTTATTTAGTCCCAATTCCATCTATTTCGTGAAATAATTCGTAATAAATCTATTAATATGCATCTAATTTAAACAAACCTTTCATGTATAAATTATTCTTCAATCTAACTTCCTTTTAAAGGTTCTTTGCCAAGACAGTTGGTAATTTTGTCTTGGAACATAAGCCAAAAACAGTCCTTCCCTACAACAAGGTCACAGATAACCTCCCTTTTTTGGATAATCCACAGCTTGAGTACAGTATAAAACAAGAGCCCGGCTTAACACCAGGTTAATAAAATAGCTCCCAACCAACCCGGAATTAAAAGGATTTGCGAAGAAAATATCAGAGTGGGGCAGAGTGGTGTAGAAGGGTTGGCTTCATTGGGGTTTAAGCCTCTTAATAGATTCGGCTAAGTCGGGATTTCCATCTTCTGGGTTGAGGTCCAATCCGGAGACCCAACAGGGGTTGTCAACTGGTCGTAAGTGGATGTGGAAGTAACAACGGAAAATACGTCATAATCAGCTATTGGACTTTTACGTTTAACACTATTATAGGTCCAAAGTGTGACGGGAGCTCTAATTAAAGTGGTATAAGTATTTAAAGAAAATCGACAAATATAAGTGTTTACAAGTATAGTAGAAAATACTGTAAAATAATGTATATAAATAATTTATTTTCATAGATTGAAAGGGGTGTAAACCCCCTGATGACCCAATTTATTTGTTATAAAATTGCATTTTATTTTAAAAGCTAACTGAATAAAAATATTATTTCAATACGTACAACACTTTTTATTAATGCATGGAAAAATGTGTTTTAAATAAAGACTTAAGTAATATATTATTCTCTGACATTATTTAGCATGGTTAAAATGTTTTGTACGTTGCTTTGGTTTGATATAATACAGCAGGGGAAATCCCAATAGATATAGTTTATCGGTTTCCTCAACAGTTTTTTTTTATATTTTCAATAATTCTTATTTTATTAATTAAATTTATTGAAGTTTCTGAAGTTTTCAGGTGTTGTCGGGTTAAAACGTTGAATATAAAACCGTACAAGTGCACGACGAAAATAAATTATTACGTAGACAATAGATGGTGATTGGTCAATTTGAAATGTGTCTTGTTAATTTGCATTTTGAAGATTGGAATATCAAGCGAAATTCAACAGTATTTATACGACACGTACTAAAAAATAACACCACCTAAAAATAAACAATGAGAAAGATTAAATTAAATATTTCAAATTAAGAATCAGAATTAATATTATATTTCAATATACTACTTTAGATGACATGTATTAATTTGGAACAATCATTAAATACCATTTGAGATGAAGAAAACGTTTGCAAGATAAAAAGATCGCGGTGTGGATGGCAGGGGGTGTTACACTCCTGGAGGCAAGGGTGGTTATGCTGCCCAGGGATCGTCCTTACCCCTTATATACCGACCCGCCCGCCACCCACCAAACTTTGCTCCGTCTCTCTCTAACACAAAATAAAAAAGTTTGGCAGTTTCACGTCCAGCCCCCACTTCCCCCCAGAACCACCCTCTCCCGAGCTTCACCACCCTGCAAACTTTTCCCCTTTCTTTCGTTTGCTTAGCGTTGGTGTAATTGAAAAATAAGTATATAGGTTATGTGGACACTGCGAATCGATATGAGGGTTAAAGTGGGAGCGGGTCAATATGAAATGAAATTGGTATTTGGTACGGTCTGGAAAAATGTACTAAGTCGTCAATATTTGATATAACTTGTGTTTTGACGTGGATATTTAAAATCGCGTGTAGATATGCTTTAATCCACTTAA